TATATACATATATATATATACGCATATTAAATTTTTTTAAAACTAAAAATTTTAATTTTCCAGAAAATTTTGCAAAGTTCTCTGATTTCCAGCTTATGACAGTCTATAATAATAGAACTTATAACAACTATAATAGAACTATAAAAGAACGTATAACAAAATAAATTTATTATTCATAAGAAATTGATTTAAAGCTTTTTAAGCTTTTTTTTAAAAGAGATAATGTTTTTTACAGGCTCTTATTTTCTCTAGTTGTTCTCTGGTTGTTTTAGTAGAGAAAAACTTCGAACACTCTCTCTGCGTTTTCCAATCTATACGACCTATTTGAAAAAGGGAGTCATAACAGAGGTTTACCCTCTTACATCAAATAATTATCTTCTCTTTTCACCAATACGCGGAAAAAGGTTTAGAGGCAGAATAGGGGCCAATATCCCCGACCAGAGAGGAAGAAAGAGAAAGAAAGATCCCCTCTTTCGCCCCGATTGGCTGCCCAAGCACAGAGCGGTTACTTACGATTCTACAGTCAACCTCTGGACATCCACCTGCGAGGACGGAGGTGCTCGACCCCACCCGACATCCGGTGCAGTGACATGAACGGTGTTTAAGGAAGCGAAAGAGAGAATCGTGGTTCTAATTGTAATATTCTCTTTTTTGGTATTTATAACTTTTGTTTTTATTTACCCCGTCTCTCGGTCTCTCGAGGACAATCTGCTCGATTTTAATGTAACGTGGAGATTATCAGACGGGTCGGGAAAGGACTTTTAACTGAAGCTGAAACAAATGTTCCTCACGGTGAGTAAGATAGAAATTAAACGTTTCTTTGAAGTTATAATTTAAAGATACTATCAATGATCGATGTCCTTCGCAAGTCCTATAAAATTCGCTTGTTTCGAACAATCAATTTTGTGAAAACAAGAAAAAATCAAAATTTAGGTCTAGATTTATAAATCCAAAGTGAAGTTTGGATAACGTTCAGTTGACACCCCCATAAAAGTATAACACCCCCATTAAAAGTATAACAAAACATTAATGTTATACTTATGCACTCAACAATGTAATTATGTATTAACATCATGTGTTATATGTATATTATTGAACACAAAATTATAACATTAATGTTATGTTACTTTTAATTAGTGTCAACTGAATAGACCTTCAAGTGAATGTGGTTGGAGAGTTATAACATCCACTCACAATAGATCTATTATGTCATCCCTCGCGAGTTAGAAATTTGAAATCTACACAGACTCAGATAGACAAAGAGAGACACTAAATATTTCTTTCAAAGAAATGATTGTTTTACGACTGTACCGCTTTGTGGTGCATCGAACGTTTATTATCTAAAGCGCAACATAAATGCAACGTTTAACTATGCCGCCGCAGGCCGCGGGTTTTTTTCTAGAGATGCAACCACAAAATTACTTAAGTAGCAGGCATTTTAACATCAAAATAATGTCTTTGACATCAATTTGCTATCTAGATACTGTTCAAAATTTCGCTTTTTTGTTGACAAAATTCTTTTCACTCTACTATGTATTATCAGTGATAGACAGAAAAGATTGAATTGCTGAATCAAAAACTAATCAAATTAAATTTTTTGTAAAATTATTTTATACATATTTTATTCTATATTATTTTTGTATTAGATAAATATTACATTTTAAGATTAAGAGAAGTCACACATTTAATATTTAAATGTATGGAATAAGATTTGCTTTCGATTTTTCGGATATTGCATTTTATGGTTTAACGTTTTGAAACTCATTATATTTTATGTGACTCACATTAAGTATTCACTTCTTTTTATACAGAATTTCCATAAAATAACACGGTAAAACGAATGAAATTCGATTGTTATGAACCAACAATAAGTTACGATAATTTGATTAAAGTAAAAAAAAGTTTTGTGGTTCCAAGAATAAAAATAAATATAAGTAAATTGCCTATATGTTAGTTTGAAATTTGTCATTAGCTGTAAAAAAGAATGTCATTGTCTTGTGGTGATAGTTAGAATAATTTATTCATGAAACGAATCACCGAAACGCATATACCGTTACTGCTTACAAGGATGTAAGTAAATATACAACTCGATAGCGTTCGACTTGTAACTTGTACAGGAGGAAACGACGTTTTGGACGAATCAACGTTACCGTTAGATTCGGCGACGCGCCGCGTATGGACCGTAGAGAATCTATTTCTCAAAGTAAACGTAAAAACGGTACATCTTAGCTCGAGCTTTATTGCCCGATTAACTTTGTTAACAACTTCGTTCCTTAATTAAACGTTAATGGAAAAATAGAAAATATAAATATAAATTATTTTAAATTTTCTAATAACTTAATTTTCTAATTTCTTTATAGGCTATTTATTGTAATATTTTACTCGTATTTTACTCAACCACTATATAATGTCATAATTTCAAATTCTTTTTTTATTTTTACATTGATAATGACCCGATTGGTGTCGAAACATATGTTTGTTATTATTATTAATTTGTCTTTACTGAGTCATATATTATTACTTATATGTTATAAATATAAATTATGTGTAGCTATAAATATGGAGATAAGATAGATATTAACAGTATATGTTTTAGTAAATTGATAACATTAAATAATTGAAAATTAATTATTTAATGCTATCAATTATATTATTTATTATTGAAGATTTTAAAAGTACACTTTATTATTTCTGCTATTATTTATACTTTATTTAGAAAATATGGATATTGTAAAAATTATACCAAGTTCATCGGTAAAGAATAATCATAAAAAGAACACAAAATTTTAGAGTTAAGTTAAAATGTATTCCAAAATATTCCATTATTTTCAACAATTATTGATCAAATTATTTCATTTTAGCTTCATGTAGACAAACAAAAATGATAAATTATTTATCGATTTTCGTTAACATAATTCATAATATGACGCATGAAAGATAATCTATTTTGTAACAAGACTCAATTTTTCAGATAACAGATATTTCAGATCGTTATCTCTTAAAATGTCATAAAGATGAGGAAGAATAGAAGAAGGCAATTCTAATTTGAGTAGTAACAGTACCTTTATGGCCGGCCGAGACGATTACACACACATAGAACGATATGAGGAATTGTCTGGAATAATTCCCAACCGAAATCGCCGTCAGCAAGGCGCCGGCGGAGATTTCGATCTCGAGCTCTTAGGTTTAAACGATTTTCACGTGCTCATCACTTTTCTTCTTTTTACGATCACGACATATTTAAATGACATTTATATATTTAAACGTTATTCGAATTATTCGAGATGATTATTTAAGTATAATTTGCAGGCATTATTAATCTTAAGGATATTATTAATCTTAATTATTTCTGCTTCTTAATTAATGCCTTACTAAATTTTCTCAAGACATAACGACCATATAATTTTGTAAAAAGTTTATAATCAAATGGAACTTTCAAGTATTTCTGGATTAATACAATAATTTTCAAGTATTTCAGGATTAATATGATAATAAAACAGATTATTATTAATTAATTAATGAAAAGAACGAAAATTCATATCACTGGCTGATGTTTATTTCTATCAGTGAAAATTAATCTCGTATTACTCTTATAATTTTTATAACTAAAAAAAGAAAATAAAAAATAAGTTAAACCGAGATTAATTTACATTAATCTTGGATTGAAAATGGACAAGAGTGTACCAAGAACTATTATGTTAAACAAAAAATGAATTAATATGATGTCCGTTTTTGTCAGCTTGTCAGCTTCTCAACATACGACTGATTTTTTTTAATTTTATTTTACATTCGCTTTCTCGGAATTTCGATCATCGTATTGTAAATTCGAACCGTGTGCAAATCGTGTATGCATGCCGCGTCTCACCGTGACTCTGCGAAAAAATTCAGGGCGGAACGAGAGATCGTAAAAAGGACCGCGACCGCATCGCGGATCCGAGAGGCGCGCAGGCAGGCGTGAGAACGCTTTTAATTAACCGCAAGGTCGCAACGGTGGAGTAAGTAACGTTATACAGCGGGACGTATGGACGTATTGAAACGGAAGACATGAATCGCGGGATCTGGTTAGCTCCTTCTCTCTTTCTTTCGAAACGCCGCCGGGACCTTGATTAATCGTAACGTTAATCGAGCTATCGCATCTGCAAAAGAAACACGCCTGCTTGGTGCTGTTACGTTACATTATCCGCTTTCAGGGCGGATAATGTTCAGAAAGTGCGATAGAGCGGAAAGAGCAATCAGGGAAAGATCGAGAGAACTTTGTAACAAGAGCAATCATCCTTTGACCGCTACGTAAATTTATTACGTACAACCGGTAGTCATCTCTCTTTCCGCTTAACTCGTGTTAACGATCTTGAGCGTGTCTTTCGACATAGTTCAACCCGTGCAGTCGTATCGAGATCGTCCACAACCCAATTGGAGATCTTCGTTCTAATTTTCTCTCAATATCGCAATATCGTTTTAATCTGATTTAGTCCGAAGAGCTAACCTTTATAAGCTATAATGATTACACGGTGTAGATGAGAAAGATCGGGGAGATCAATGCCGGGATCAAGGATTTGTCGAGGTAACAGGTATGTCGAATGTGTGTACGCGCGCGCGCACTCGTCTCTCCGACGGTCACGGCCATTGACCAACCTTGGACGGTATCCGTTAATGATTTCCTTGCTCTCCCGTTGTTGACCGTGGCTCATTATTCAAGCACCCGTCAAACGTCAGTCAGATCGTTCTCCGAGAAGTAATAATCTTCGTTGAGATTTTTACTGATCGCGTTTAAAATTAAAACAATTTGAAACAATATGGAAACCTGATGCAAACCTAAACTTTTATGTGTCCCTTTTATTGTATAAATCACAAATATGCAGTTATTTTGCTAAAAAGTTATTAGTTTAGAAATCTATTAGTAATCTCAGCACAAAGTCCAAAATCGGAACATAAAACGTCTTAAGATGTCTTATAATTACACTATAGATAAGTTAAGCCTGTTAAATTATAGGTGCCGGTTGTCGATTCTATTTTAGCCAATTACGATGCAGCGAGTATTAGCTAAAATAGAATCGATAACTAGCAAATTTATGCTTAAATTCTAAGCAGAATCGTAAGGCTCATATTTCTGTAAGATTTGTAAGAATTTTTAAGTACTTAAACACCTTTATACAATATTTTTACAGAGAGCTTCTTACTAGCCATAAAATTTACAAGAAATCGTAGATATTTATGGATAATCATACGTTTTACGATACATATGCAAAATTAGAATATTAGTCATAAGTTCTTACAAGTTTTATGACAACACGAGTTTTACAATTCTGCTTAGAATTACTCAATAGTGTGATTATGACTTAAGGCCCGGTTCCACCAATATAAAATTAACTTTAATTTCAGTTTAATATACTCTCTATCTTTTTCTAATTCAACGATAGGAGAGAACATAAAATTCAAAATCTTTAGACATTTTATTTTTACTTCCTAAGAAAAACTAGTAACAATGAGTAAACTTTCGAAGTTTTTTTATTTCGAGAGTAAACATTTCTTTGTGAACAATTTTTTCATTAAATAAATCTTTTAAATAAAATTAATTACTTTTTATTAGTATTTATTAGTATCTAAGATTGAGATTGTGTTTAAATGTTCAAACATTTCGATGCACAGTCACATTTGAAAATAACTGCATAAATTAAATTCATGAATTAAAAATATTATTCAAAACATCTAACTTTGATCGATCCTAGGCGCTCTCTACTATATTTATATTGTTAAAATTAATTACATTTTATAAAATGATATCTTCACATAATTATAATGATGTCTTCTTAAATAACAATTATTGTTTTTGTTTTTTTAATCTTTATATCCGTTTTCTCTTCCACAAGAAGCAGTTTTGTAGAACTTGTCCTCTTAATCATGCCAGAGTTAATTGAATCTCGTTCTCGAGGACTCGCGTAACGTTGGAAAGCAATCCCGATTATTATTCCGCGTAGTAACACTGGCGCCGGTATGTACGTGAAAATTGCAATCAAAATGCAACGTCGTGCGCGTGTCGAGCTTCTTTCCGAACGTGCGATCGCTTTCACTCGTCGTAGCAGCGCATAAGCATGCATAACGGATTTTATACGGTCCCACCAACCTACAAACCTCGAACTGCATATAGGGAGTCAAGGGCAAGTTATACGATCGCTGATCATTATTCCTAATTCGCGCTCTTGTCTCGTCGTTCACTCTCTCTTTGTCTCTCGCCTTCCTCCCCCCCACCCCCTCTCTCTCTCTCTCTCACACGCACATACGTCGTCGCAGTTCTCATCACGCGCTACATACGAGGCGTCGCGAAAGGGAAAAAAATAATTCTGGTCGACATAATTTTTTTTCCACGGTGAACTTCACCTGCAAAACGGAAATCCTTTCGACGCAGATTCCGAGAGCGAAATGATAGCGAGCCCCACACGAGAAGATAATTTCCCGGCGATTATCCGTTACATCAAATTACTCACATGTATCGTGCTCATATTGTAGAAGGATTAATTAGAGCGATAAACTACGATAAATGAGAAAATATATGATTGATCAAATATAATTGAAGTCTAATGGAAGTTGGGATTCAGATATGTATACATATATTCACTTTTCGGTAAAATTGCAGTTTCATGTTTGCGGAGAGAGCACACATATAAAATTTTATAGACAGAGGAAATCAGATATTTCTATCAGTTACGGTTACTATAGTGAAGAAATTCTTTTTCTATATAGTCAAGTTTTTATTTATTAAATCATATCTTTCTTCGACATTTAATACTCAAGTAACAAACCGACGTTATTTGTCATTATTTTGACATATAAATGACATGACGACAAATAACGACAATTTGCTACAGAAAGAGAATTCCTTCAGTTATGTTATTTAAAAAAATTATCTGAATAGAAGTTTACACATTTGATTTCATCGATAATATTTATCCTTCCGTCTTCCGCTTTCGCATCCACGCGCATCATTGAGAATGAATAGATAGTATTTATAAAAATAATTTATCTATCGAATCGTAATTCTAGGATTCGCTTTGGAGAATATCTCGAAAGTAGTGATTCGCTCGAGACAGCGGCTTCGATTCAGGAAACACCGTTGCGGAATTTTCTCTCGAGCTGTGAAGTGCGTGCTCACACCTGCGCGTGTCATTTACTCTTGCTCTTGACCTCTTGCGAACTCAAGTTCCAAGACCGCTCGCTCGCTCGCTCACACGTTCTTCTTTCACGCTCTACCTTCTTATCCAACCTACGCATGCTGACGCAGCGTGAGTTCATCGCCAGTGATATCAATCTTTATTAACAAGAAGATAATACCCTCCCCGGCAAGAGTTCGCCCGCGGCGAAGCGTCTCTTTCTTGCGACTATCACTTTATCTAATACGGGGTTACGTTACGTTGGCGGTCTTTTACTGCAAATGATGCTAAAATATCTACACATAATATCTAGCATATATATGTGCTAAACTATATCACTTTAGGCGCTGCACATATATATATATATATATATGTGTGTGTGTGTGTGTGTGTGTATGTATGTATATAGTTACTTAGTGATGTATTGAAATCTCAAGACGTGCGTTGAATTCTATAGAACGTGACTTTTCAGAAGTTAAAATAAATATAAGAGCTCCCTCGTGTCCAAGAAGTCATCAAAGAATCATACCAAGTGTCATATCCAATTATTTCGAGCATTTCATTCTTAAGACGTCAGTATTCTCTCTTTGATTTCAGATGTCCAGGTATCTCGGTCTGATACTTATTATCACGGCTTTTACTTACGCATACGGTGCCAGGAAGTGTGAGGGTAACGGTCTAGGTCTACAATATGTATGGGGTGACGCACTCACCGATCCCAGTGACTGTATAGGACCGAATAATATGCAGTATCCCTCGTAAGTAGTAGAAACACAAATATAATAAAAACGTTTTCATAATTAAGATAAATCCACACAAAAAGTCTAAAAAAGATCTGGAAGACTAAAATATTTTTAAGCATTTTTGTTGTTTAGTAATTTATTTTTCAATTATCCGATAGTTTGAATATTTTTCAACTTCTGCTGAGAGATTATCAATTCAAATATTATTGACATGAAACCTCAAATGATATACATATACGTTACTTCAATGATTTGATTACTAAGCCAAGGTTAAAATGAAAAACAATTTATTCTACAAAAATCATATTTCACATTGAAATCTTTGTTTCTTTCAAATAATTAAATAAAAAAATGCTTAAATTTACAATTAAATTTTTATTAATCGTTTTTTCACTTTAATTTGATTGATGGGAGAACATCTGCAGGATGAATTAAGTACACAACGCCCTGAAAACTATTAACTATGTTTTGAGAAGTAAATTATATTCAAACTATCGACCGGTAGTATGTAAGAGAAAATACTAATAATAACTAGGCAGAGTGCAACGGATGTTATGTGTACCGTTTTCGCAGCGCCGCGATATCGAGGAGCTTTAAGAATCTCTGGGCAGGCAGTAGTCGAACCGCGCGATCGCATCAGCCACGGACGATTGATCCCGAACTGACGAGGCAGGCGCTTTTACACAACTACAAAGCGGCCCACGGGGACTATTCTATCGCCGGAAGTTCCCGGAACGGTAAGTCCGCGTTTAAACTCACCGTGTTCCGCTCATCGTGGAATGCACGATATTCTCTTTCGCTTCCAAACCGCGTAAGAGACAAAGATCGACATCCTTGAATTGCTTTATCTTGTTACTCTAATGCTCGTGAATTACTATTTTAAATTTCCTTATCTAAATGCGTTGCAATTGCTAATTATATTGTGACCCAATAGAGGCTGTTTACAACGTTATTATAATCTCCTGTCGACCGGTTTTGTATTTTGCAACTTCGCTTCCTTCTGTTTTGTGTTGAGTTTTATTGTAATCCGACCGCTGAGGTTTATGAATAAAAGAAATGATAAAATTTATTATTTTATGTTTCTCTCAACTTCTTGCGTATACATGAATAAATCTCTGCTATCTTGATTGAATATTAAATTAAGTAGAGGAGAATTAAATCATATTCACGAAAATAAATGTATTTTGATCTTATGGTATGTGAACGGAAATTTAGAAATGACAAAATGAATAATCATTTTTGCTTCTCTTAATTTCTCAAAATGAACATGTAAATAAATAAATAAATCGCTCTTATCTTGATCGAATAAATTGAAATGATTAAACTTCACTGTCCACACAACCAAACGTAAAATTTCAAAAATAATCGTTAGTACACGATAATTCTACGAGCAAAAGCATTAAGAAATAGTAAAAGTTAATAAATAAAAAAAATTTCGTTTTATTACTTGTTTCGTAGCTTCGAGAAAATGATTTCCAGGATTTATCGCGAAAAAGCCTATTCCAATGAACGTCGAGACCATATTCCGTAAACGCGAATTATCCGGGAAGCGCTCTTGCTTCGGTATTCGCATAAACGACCCTGTTCCCACGCAACCGAAGACCTCGGAAAAAAAAACCTCGTGACGCGTTCTGAACGACGGAGATCAGTTCTTGGGGTTCCACAAGCAGACTCCACGAAAATTGGAACGACCAGTCGCGAAGTGGGTACCGGCGTGCACATGCAGCCGTTTACGATCTTGCTCGCTGCCCTGCAGCCTTCAGTTATGCGGTTGTCCTGACACAAAAACCCGCTTCTAACTCGACTTCTAACCACTTCGTGCTTCCTGGCGGGTCGTCGAAGTTTCTGCGAAATTCGCGCGACCGATGAAATGTGACCCGCGCGAGTTTTCCGTTCAAGGGTCGTCATCGCATCGTGGTGCTCGATCTTCCTGATAATAGTCGGTCGGTGGAACACCGATGGGCCAGCAATAAAGGCATCGTGTTATCCAGCCAATACAGTTATCGTTCCTTGTGCTCATAACGGGACCCACCGGCGACCCACTCGACGTCGTTTCGAGCATATATGCTCGTTTCGAAATGCTCGCGACAAAGGCTGTTGATTCCGAGAGCGAATCTCTCGACTTAACTCTAATTGTTCACCAACACTACTCTGTTTACAGGTCTTAATCGGTGGATTTAATAACTTGATCAAATCTGTTCGAATCGAAGTTCGAATATAAAGAATTTATATTCTTAAAGTAACAAATTTCAAATGTAGATGTTCCTTGTGAAAAGTATTATCTCAAATTTTAAAATAAGCATTTAAAATAACGCTATTTATTTTAAAATGTTTATATATTCTTATTTTAAATACTTATAAATATTTTTTTTATCCTTATAAAAAAGAATTATGTGTTGACTTCTTCTTTAAGCATTTTACAGAAAAAAAATTATCTTATCTAAGAAAAGATTTTTATTATTTGCAATTTTGTCTTTAGCTTTAATTTATCGGTGAGCGGAAAATTAAACGACGAAACTTTTCGCGTATTCCGAATGTGCATGGAACATTGGCGTGTTTAATGATCTATATACTTGTAAAGATGCTGTTTTTAATCTTTATAATTTCATAGGGGTCCGTATGAATCCCGTATTCTTACGGGACCATCTCGTATACTATACCGTATTATAACGTTCTAGTGCTGTCAGTAAACCGCAATAACGTTTTATGTTAAGTATACATATTTGTGCGTAAATTTTGTTCGGAGAATACGATCCGCATCAAGATTATAATGCAGGATTATAATGTTGTGCAACATAATGAGAAAAAAAAATTGTATTCCCACGAAGTGATCGTCACTGGGTTTTCAGGTCGTGCGTTTTCCGCGAAGGAAAGTTGCGGTTCGCCCGCCAGGCTCTGCAAAACAAGGTACAATACCACAGCTCCTATGTACGGCATCAGCCTCACTAGCGGACAACCGGTAACAATCGTGCAGAAGTTCCCCGATCTCCTGCAGCAAGTCGTCTTCGAAGTCTGCGAGTGAGTATCGTGATTTTTGGATTTCTCGTATTTGTAATCAACTCTTCAGCGGCTTCTTAATTTTTCTGCGACCCAATATATATATATATATATATATATATATATATATAAAATATGTCAATATTTTTTATATAATTATATATAGTTATATATGAAACATTTTTTCTCCGGGGAGTTTTATGAAGCTTATGCATATATTTACGTCCAAAGTTTTTTTGCTCTAAAATTAACTGGAAAAAAAATTTTATAATTTGTTTAATATATTTTTAGAGAGATTGCTAAACGAAGTCTTTTTATCTTCAACAGTATATACTTTACTAAAGTGACTCTTCATAGACTCGATCGAAAATTTTAACAAGGCAAATTTTAATTCCATTTATCCTGAAATATTTGATGAATTTTTGAGCAATCTATACATGCATTTTGCTTAAGATATAACATTTTCTGCAGTTAATTTATGTAAATGGGATTCGTGTGGTCAATATTATCGACACAATATATTGCATGAATTTTTAAACGATGATTTATAAGAGCAGCGGGACATCGAACCAGATTGTAATTCACCTGGGCCGCCCGCTGAATTAATTTGAATGTGGCACAGTAGGACGAACTGGTTTACAACTATGTGTTCGTGATCAACATGTACCTACTTTTAAGATCTTTTTTTGTACGAAATTCCTTCCTTCAGGTAACTCAAATATAGTTCTATTAGTCTAAAGCATCAAAGCTAACGAATTAATATTCTACACATATTGAATGCTGTAATTGAAGTTCTCTCAAATATATGTACCAATATTGTAAACATATGTATACGTAAAGAATATATTTTTACTATAGCGGATATGCATCGAGATATATTCGAGAAATTCATGATACAAAAATTAATAAAGCCACGCGAAAAAATAAAGGAATTTCCCTTTGTCATTCAAATACTGCTCGGAAAGAACCATCTCGTAAAGATAGATGCGAATGTCGTAAGGTACATGAGCAACTTCGTGTACATGCATCCTATCTCGGGGAGAGGCACGTATATTACACTCCAAGTTATGTCAGCTTACGTATTCAAGCGCTACGGAATCACTATAAACGCAACCCGTAAACAGCCTCTCGCCCGGTGAACGAACCCAACAGAATCTCTCTCATCGGTCGGTTGTTTCAGATCGAAGGAATGCGACGTGGTTCATGGTGAGTGCACGCAGACCTACGTACCGTACCTGTTTCTGGTGATTCCTCTCGGTCCAGTGACCTTGACTGGCCAGGATTACGTACTGGTGGAGAGCGGTTGCGTCTGCAAGCCGAGAAATTCGGCGAGCGCGTCCACCGATACGCCGCCGGCTGTTCCAAGCTTCTAAACGTTCGTCAAATCCACACAAGTCGCAAGCATCTCTGAATGTTCTCCGTCCAGACGACAGGACTCATTCTAAACATCGCGTTCTACTAGAACGCCACGGTATAGAACGATTTCCGGCATTAAAATCCCCCGAATGGCTCGATAATTTCATCGATGCGATGCTAGAATGTTATTTCTTGAAAGAAATTTTTCCGGCAAGAATGTGTGGATGTATGAAACGAATTCCGGGATAAACGGAATGAATCTGTCTTCCATTTTTTTTTACCAGGAGATATCATTGCAATTTCACACAGCTTAGTTTATTATTTAATTTAATCGATTATTAGCTATAACTGAATTTCAATATAAAATGTTTGTTAATTTATTAGATGTTTATCTCACTAATTTACAATTTTTTTTATAAGAATTTTTTCCTATATATGTTTTTCTTAAAAGTTTTTACAGATTTATTTGACTCCGGAACTGATGATGCTTTGCGCAATTAAATTAAAAAGATGTCTGCTGATAATAGATTAATGGCTATAGAACGAAACATATTGAAGATTTCTTGAGAGAAATACTTCTAGTGAATGAAATGCCTTCGTCACAAATCGCAGTCGCTTGAGTCTTCTTGCGTTTGTGACTTTGATCAATGGGATCTGGACGGACTATCACGAGAATTCATTGTCTGACTATGGAAGATAAGACTGTCGCAATTGATGGATTTCATCGACGATAAATATCTCTCTCGACGAGTTTACATATCGTCTCTTTTTAAGACACCTGAATACTTCTAGGCTGATACTCGGCGGATGAGTCAAATCAGTCTGCTCATTTATAATTATATGCTCGAGCCGATAATATAAAATATGTTTCTAATCGAAATCTGCTCACGGGTAGCTGGAGTGTAAGGACAATTCGAGCATATAATCATTCTCCTTCCATTCTCATCCTTCTCTCTTTCTCGTGCCAAAAGCCTCGGCAGGACACATATTCCGGCTGGCAAATGAAAAAGCAAATCAGGGCAGTGGACGGCCGCACCGTTTCGCGGAATCCGGTCTCGGAATTCGATCGAGTTCACTAGACTTGTCGCCTCTCTGAGCCGGTTTCGAGCAGGTGCAAATGGCATTTCAGGTGAGCCTGGGTGTCCATCGACTGGAGGAACGTCGTCCACGAGCTGACTGGCTCTCTTAAGCGTAACGTCGTCGTTAAGTTATATCACGCGCGCTATTATATCGCAATAAAATCAACGCGTTTTTGCGTTTACAGAATCGGTCGAGGATCGTTGACGCAATCTGTACGAGCGGGCATTCATCGCTATATCATTTATCTTTACGACACATTTAAGAATCATCCTGTCTTCCAGGATTTCCTTCAGGGATGCGAGGATAATGGATAATGGAAAATCCATTATTATAAAAGTCGTACAAACGTAGCGTCGAAATTTTAGATTTTCTAAAAGAATTGTAACGTTTTCTTTTTTTTTTGAAAATAATTTAACTCATATGTTATTTTTGCTCATTACATTAAACATTTTTTTGTAATATTAAATCTACAAATTTGTCATGTAAAAACTACATAATCTAAAGATACTCTCTTATTTTTGTACAATCCTATTTCTACGAATCTTTTATATATGCGAGTCGTTAGTTAAGATAATAAATTATTGCTAATATAAAATCCACTATATCATAATAATGGCCGATTAAAAATGCATGAAAGATGTCTGCAAGACACTTCCGCATCTTTCAATTGTTTTTATGCCATTTTTTTTCCTTCTCTAACTCACATTTCCTATAGCGATAACAATTATAATAACGCCGGTAGTAAGCATTCTCCATTTACTGGGAGTATGTCATCATGACTTCAACCTGCTGACCTAGAGAGAGAGAGAGAGAGAGAGAGAGAGAGAGGGTCAAGATCATCGTACTACTTTCTGCCCCGTTTGTGTTACATCGCGAATCTCCCCCAACGCGAAAGACTTGCCCCGTTTGCGCTGGCTCCTCGAAGAAACCGGACCTCGTAACAAAACCTGCGTCGTGACGGACGTACATATGTACGTCGAGAATAGAGCGTAGCATAAATTCCGATGAGTCCCGTAATGTACCGTTACCCATCGGTCCGTGAATCCCCCTCACCTGATACATCTCTCGTTTCTCGTCTGCTTGCTCATCATCTCGTCGCAAATGACGACGGGATACGCGCAGCAGCCGAAAGTCAGCGAACATAGGACTGGACATTTTACATGAGCGATTCTACGGAACCTGATCCAGTACAACCGAATTCGAAAAAAATCGTCTCATTTTACCTACAGCAAATAACGCAGGAGTGACATAATTGCGTTAATTTATAATCACTGTAAATTGTGCTGTAATTTTTTAAATTAAATATCAGCGATCGCCCGGCTTACATCCAAGAAAAGAACGGTAATTTTGAATAAATGAATGTACGTGTGCGATATGATGAATACTCTTCCTCATTTTCATGTCACTCAGTTTGTATTTATAGCTGTAATATGCATTCATGTATTTATAATTTATTATTAGATTATTACATATTGTAAGCCTCGTGAAATTTTTTCCTTTCCTTCTCCTTCACTTTCTAATTATCGCAAACTGATTAATTATAATCTTTATTTTATTCTGTGATAACTAATAGCTGCGTATTAAAATGCTTTTATATAGAAAGAACGATTTCATCGAAATACCTAAAAACTAAATATAAATCTGAATATAATTTTGTTGTATCATCAAAATAATTAAGTAGAACGCAAGCATAATAATGTTGCAAATATGCAGTGATGAAAAATTAATCATTCTATATAATACCTAATTTTTTATGATTTAATAAAATTATTTCTAGATGTGTGTTTAGCTAAATTTCTTTTCAATTACTTTACGAAACTATTCTTTCCATATAGGTTTGCATCTTATACACACTTTACAAAAATGTATATTTATAACAATGTTAAATTAATTTTTATTTAAACTCTTTCAGATCTGGATTTTTTTAAGAAACGGGACATACATCGTTTTTATTATTTTCGAAGGTTTAGAATAGCTGATCACTAGATACAAAAATGAGGTCAAAACATAAAAATTCAAAATAGCAGCAAATCCAAGAAATAAAATATTATATTATAATGAAATTATTCATAATGAAATTTTTGGGTTACTAAACACAAAAATAATATCAAAACATAAAAACTTATGACATATTAGTTAAATTTTGACAACGGATTTGTGTTCAGCAAGCAAAAACACGTCGGAAATGATTATTTATACTTGTGTTGCAAAAGAAAAGGTCAAATTATTTTATGATTGTATTTATCATAACGTTTGTCAGTTAAAATTTAGATACTTTTCCTTTAAAAATATATTAATATTAATTTAATATAATCATGTGTACACAGAGAAGAGTTATGCATTGTAAAATATCATATAGATTACATATCATATATTACAAACGAAATATAAAGTTACTAAAAAATATAATTACTAAAATCACAATATTTTTTCGTAGTTTACTTTGATAATTGCGAAATTATTATATCAAAATCTATATTCTTATACACGTTTCATTTTTAATTGGAAGAATTCCTGTGTAATAATTTTTCTTGACTTATGATTTAATAATGATCTTAGAATAATTTTTTTTAACTTCTTAATTTTTTTAACTTTTTAATTTATTAAAACTTTTTTCATATAAAGCTACTTTAATGGAATAGTTAAAAATATTCTTTCTGCTATATCTCTAAGTTTGAATATGATTTAGTTAAAAAATAATCATGAATTAGTTTTTAAAATATCTAAAATAGAAACTGATTCTATATTTACTAAGAGATAGAGATTAAGTAAGAGAGAGAGAGAGAGAAGAGAAAAGAGAAGACCGTAAACCAAAATCACCATTAGTAAACGAATTAAAATATGTAGGAAATTATATTGCTATTTTTACGCTTCTTTTTGATAGAAGAATTTCCCTGTAAAGACCGTTGATGTAAACTTAAGAATATTTTGAGTAGCATGCGTTAGTCATCGTATAATACTTGTTATTAGATTATTTTGTTGTAAATCGTGTAAAGAATTTATTTTTTTCTTCTTTTGTATTTTTGATTATTATTTTCTAAAGAATTCCCCTGTTTTGTGCATCACTAATGAGCGGCTATTATATAACGTGAGATGTGACCATCATGTGATTTATGATACATATTAAAGAAATACAGTTGCGCCGCGATCGAGATTCCCGACACCGCAAACGTAAGCGGAAAGATGCTCGCTTTAACTTGTGCTCTAGCATCCTCTATTTTTAGTACGTAACGGTACCGAAAGAATTACATATACACACACAAATGTGATAATGAGAAATTTTAAAGTTTATCCCTACATGCAAACGAATCGCGTCTACGAATCATAAATAATTAATATTATATAAAAGTGAACGAATTGTAAACAAATATTTGATGAAAACACAACGCTAGGAACAACCATGCATCATAAAATGTCAAAAATATAATTTCCATTATATTTTTATGATATTTTAATGCAATTTAGTCTAAAATGATAAATATTAATATTAATAATCAAATTTTAATATAAATAATTAAATTTTGATTATTTATATTATTAAAAAGAAATTAAAAACTAGGCCTGTTTTTTTTTAACTGAACTTTTGCACCAGTTCATCTTTCTTCCTCTTCTTTCTTCTTGGAGAGAAAAGGAAGAAAAATGAACTGGTGCAAAAATTTAGTTAAAAAGAACAGATAATACAAAAATTATACATTTAAATATTTTTAAAAATTCAATAGAACACGGATGATCATATATAATGTCACAAATTTGTGCTTAACTGATGATCGGTAATGTCGCAATTTTTGCTTGATTTATAAAATAAAAAAGCACCGAAATTATCAGCACCGAATTAATTAGTCTTTTTACATTATCGACAAAATCGCTGGGCCGGAGCCTCTATTAAACATGATCTCAGAAACAAGTGCCTATAATTAAATAAGAAGAAGAATCAACAAGATCCCGATCGATGAAATCTACAGCTAATTGCATAATATTCATACGTAGCTATTCAACACTAAATCATTAATCAGATCAAACATTTCATATATTACGATCATTACGATTATATCAATGAATTGATAGGAATTTTGCAGTAATCATAAGAATAGTAGAAAGCAATTGATAATGAATAGTACTCTCTTTACATATACAAGATATTTTATAATATATTTTATATTAAAATGTATCATGACAAATTTTAAATCTCAAAAAATTTTTAATCAAAAGCTTTTTTATTATAAAAACATCTCAACAAGAACTATCAAAATATCCATGATAAAAACTTATAGATAAGCGTAAATGATAAGTTTCAATGTTTCTTAAATATTTCACTGAATGCACTGATTATTAACCTGGATCTATAATAAGTGTTTTAAGTCTCGACATTAGTGACAAGTCTCATTTATATCTCATTTGTAGTGCAGCTACATATACATATATTAGGTGTAATAAAAATAATGGATTTCTTTTTACTACACCTAATACTTGCACTCTATCAAAACTACCATACATATTATCTTGTAGAAAAAATATTTTGCAATGAAACTCGTTTTGATTATATTTTACGAAGCTACGAAGCCTATTAAAAAACCAAATTTTGCAATTTAATTCTTAAAAACATAATAAATAAAATGATATGGCCCTTATTTATGGTGCGGATACATATTTTTATGTTAATATTTTATCTCCTAAAAGTAATACGTCACAAGTAATACGTCAAAAATAATACGTCACAAAACCTTTGTTTCTTTTTTTATGAAGCAAAGATGCGTACAGAACCGGTTTTGCAAATTGGTTTTTGAAAAATTATAATAAATAAAATTATATGCACAATTGCATTTTACTTATTTTTGTTTTTAATTAACATGTTAAAAAAACTTATTTTATAACTTATTTTATGTTAAAAACTTATTTTTATAAAACTCAAATAAATATGCTGAATTTGTTAATAATAAAGTATTGTTGAATGAAACAAAATTAAATGATACAAAATTTAATATAGTTGTAATAAAAGAAAAACAGGAGTTCGCCAATTCATTTAATCGACTTTCTCGATAGTTGGTCCAGTGCCATCACTAGGATTAGATTCTGCTCCGCCAGTATCAGAGAAACCATCAGACGTTTCGCCACTTTGATATAATTCCGTGACAATGGGATTACATATGGCTTCCAATTCCTTCTGCTTGTCAACGAATTTTTCCTTCTCTGCCAATTGATTGGCTTCTAACCAAGAGATGACTTCATTGCACTTAAAAAGAACTTTCTCCTTATCGGACGCATCGATCTTATCTTTAATTGTGTCTATCATATTCTTCATGTTGGAGCAGTATAACTCGAGAGCATTTTTGGCGGAACGATCGGTACTTTTCGTCTTCGTTTACCGTCTTCTCTATGTCTTCCTTCGACAAACAACTCTTGTCATTTGTAATTTTGATGTTATTTTTTTTGCCCGTAGATTTCTCGATTGCAGAGACATTCGATACGTCTGCAAAACAAAATACAAAAATTTGAAATATAGAATACGTTTAAATTATAATATATTATAACAATTAATTGAATAATGAATATGAAGTAGCTACAAAATAGCTTCTGAATTTTTGGAATCCTGGTGGAGTCACTGACTAGAACAATGCTATAAACTTGAATGTCTACCTTCGCATCCCTAAGTACCTTTCTCCACATTTGAGTTCGAGAGTGCTCCTAAACAGATTGGCATAAAGCTCCTCATATCTAGGTCTGATGACTGACGTATAGAAATCAATATTCTCAAACAACGAATCAATCTCGATGTTTGCCTGCATCAACGAACTCAACATTCTTCTCGCCTTCTCATATTGCGCGAACAATCCTATGTATATTTCACCGACGTATCTCATGCACACATACATAATTTTTTATAAAACAATAGCATTGTAATTAGACATCCAAGTCTAATTTTAAAAACTCCATAATTGTTAACTGTCTGTGTTGTGTAAATTATTAGTCTGTGGACTACAATTTTGTAAATATAGATTACAAAATTTTTATATCGAACAAATATTATGATATTTTGACAGTTCTAATGTCATATTGGGTTAAAAAATGAAGAAGATTTAGAATCTCTTTTAGAAGGCCAGCTCGTTTTTGTTTGGAGTCAAAAAAATAATCATAAATTTAAAAAAAAATAACGATTATAGCTATCAATTTAAAGCTCGAACATACATTTTATTTATACTTAAAGAAATATCCATAAATTTTTACAAGCGAAAATAATAAAAAATGAATGAGATCAACAAGATGAATACTCCAAAATCCATTTTCACCAAATTGCTGTCACTGTAGGAAGGGACCTGTTACCACACATCCCAATAGTACATTCACTTATATCGGCTAGTGCTTAATAATTTTTTACTGTTTTGCCGACAGGAATACTTTATTTTAAATTGGCCAATCAGTGATATGCTATCAGAACCCTCTTTCACTGTACAACCAAAATGAGTTGTCTAAAACAAAAAAAAACAAATTAATTTATTTTGGTAATGTTAATTAATTATGTTAAATCTAATGAAATTAAAAAAAAATTAAGTAATGGGAATTTTAATAGATCCTAAATATGAAGTGCTGACATGATAGACAGCGAATAATGTTGTAATTAAATAAACATGTTCTTTTCTATGTGAAGATGCTTCATACAATAATGTTATAATGCCAATGTTCTTTTTATATGTTTTTAAGAAAAATGCATTAAAAATTTTCATTAGAGAATATTTGTTTTATTTTATACTTACAATAGGTTTTCTATAATCAATAATTCCTGGACCATAAAAGGAGTCTTCATCTTTATAAATATCATTGGATTGGATAGATTGTCCATTGTATGTTGTCGGTTAGGTTGTCTTTTAGACTATTCTTTCGATGTGTGGCACATTATTTGCTGTCTATCATGTCAGCACTTCATATTTAGGATCTATTCAAATTCCCATTACTTTACAAAAAATCGAATAACTTTCATATATCAGACGCCAGCAACATTGCAATTTCGATTGTTTGTTTTGAATCACAATGAAGGTATTTTGGCGCTAAATGTAATGACTTTCACATGTATTCATCCACATATATGTATGTATAAAGGTAAGGAGAAAACATCTGCTAATCTAAATCTGTATATTTTAGAATAACAAAAGCCAGGTATATAATATACACCAGCCAGGTTTGAAGAATCAAAATCTTATCTTTTATCTCTTGAAACCGGATCATTCAAACTGCTACAACTCCAACAATCAAGTATATTCTGAGAAATATTCTTTAATAGTTGTTATTTGAAAAAGTGTAATAAAAGTTATTTTTTATTCCAGAAACGAGCTGGTCTCCTTAAAAACGAACATTATTATAAAAATAATAAAAATACCTTCACAAGTATCCCTCTGATTTTCATCTCGCTCAAGTTGATCAAACCGACGCACTTCGTACCGATCGAGTATACGGTATATATTGCTTCGAGACACACCGAACGAACGAGCTATATGGCACACATTCTTTCCATTTTCATATGCTCGCAGAATTTTCTCCTCAATGCAAGCACGCTTTTTTACACCACGTTGTCGTCTAAATGATGGAGTTACGAACACTGATCCTGTTTCACGTAAACGATGGATACATCTCAGAATAGAGCTGGAATTGGGTTGTTTGCGTCCGGGAAATCGTTCCGCATAGAGACGGCTTGTTGCATGACTGTTTCCTCCGCATGCACCGTATGTAATAACCATGTCAATGTATTCATGAGCACTATATGCCATGTTCTCGCAATAAATACAATTCTGGAGTACACGCACCTCGAGAACACTGAACGAACTGGGCTTGGGCTCACCACAAACTTCTATATATTAAGGCTAATTCTACAATGTGCTCTTTGTTTCCTGTTTCTTGCCATTTGTCTCTTGTCTTATTGACCAAAAAGGCAAGAGACAAACAGAGACAAACAGCAAGAAACAGGAAACAAAGAGCACATTGTAGAATTAGCCTAACACTTGACTGTGTAATCACCGCGACCATGTTGGAATTGTGACGATATAAGCTAAAAATGACGACTTTTCTTGTATACCATTTGTAAATAAAGAAAGTTTGAAATGAAATAATAAGATTGCTTTAAAAAGGTAAAAATGAACCGAGTCTCTCCTTATCTCCCCTCACAATCAATAAATAATCGTAAAAGGCACGTAAAGTGAAGACAGGAAACGGACTATTTGACAGCTATTAAAAATAGTAAAAAATATGCTTTTACGTATGAAATTCCAAGACAACTTGAGTCTTTTCCATTTTTACGACTTTAATAAGTATGAGATAAGTCAGTTTCACAATTAAGTACATAATAAAGAAACGGCATGCAAAAAAAGGTTTCGCGTTGACTAATTCAATTACTAATCCAGCAAGAAAAAAAGCATCGTACACCGCTGACTTTATTCTCCTAACATGCTGCCTCAGCTGCCTGCCGGTAGCACAATATATATAGTCACAGTATATACAGTATACACGCAACTCTCTTGATTTTGTTTCCCAAAATGGAGTGCGCATGCGTGAAATAAGTAAGTTGCCCCGTCTCATTTTCTCTTTTTTTGTTGCTCTTTTTCTTTCTCTATTTAAATGAGCGTTTTAATAGGCACTTTCAAATTGACAAAGCGGCTAGTCTACTCGCCAAACAAATAAACATAATTGTTTCTTATAGATCCAGCCAATCACATTTAATCGAGCAATAGCCGCTTTATCCGACTTGAACACGCCCAATGTTCCACTTAGGGCCGATTGTTCCATCTTTTAATAAATTTTACCTATTGGATAAGTAGCAAGATTATCCAATCACATGCGCGGATTATTATCAGATTTACCTCATAGATAAAATTTATCAAAAGATGGAACAATCGGCCTTTAAACATTTCTTTTTCAAGCATACATGGTTCAGAATAGAAATTTAGAAGGAAGTATTACGTGTATTGTCCATTTGATGAAATGTATGAGAAACCTAGAGAGATTGGTCTAATTTTTATGAAAAAGTGATTTTTGTGAAAAAGTGAACAAAAATAATATAGAAAACCGAGCAAGAATGTTGTAGAATGCTTGTAATTGGAATGGGTCTTCTATAATAAGCCATTAGTCATAAATCAAAAGTCAGAAACTAAAAATGAAGGACTGTGATTGGTTAATTTTTAGCTTCTGACTTCTGATTTATGACTAATGGTTTATTGTAGAATGCGTGTAAAGGCCGCAGCACAGACTTTTGTATAACGCATAACGCATAGTGCATAAACGAATCAACTAATCAGAATCTTCCCTTTCTTCCTATTCCATAGAAAAGAAGAATTTCGATTGGTTGATTCTCTTATACACTATGTATGCGTTATGCAAGAGTCTGTGCTGCGGCCATAAGTTACAAGCGTATGTAAGTGTGTAGTATGGAATCAGTTACATTCGACTGTGACTCAACAATATATCTTACAGTTTTAAAGCTCACTCCATCTAAGTATTGTATTTCATACAATTCAAAGGATCATTCAGGACTTAAACTCTTATAATTGTCATTTTGTCATTTATTAAATGTCGAACAAGGAAGTGCCGAAAGCATCCTACCGACGCGTCCGTAATGTAATTGTATAAATACTGTGAAAAGATGTGATTGTATAATATTGTGAAAAGATTTACATTTTAATGATTACGAATTAAATTATGAACACAATGGCACAAAGAAAATCCAACGTATGGAATTTTTTTAAAATATGTAGTGATGATGAAAGAAAAGCTGACTGTATTCTTTGTGAAACTACATCACGAAAACAAATTGTAAGAGGAAAATCACGTAAATTATTCTCGACTAAACCATTATGGAACCATTTGAAAAGTAAACATCCTTTGATAATGAAAACCTTAGATGGAGAAATAAATGTCAGTGAGAATATTAAAGTTGAAATAGATGACTATCCAATTTCTAACTCTTTATCTACAACAATGACTTCAAAATCTTATGATTCTTTATCTACAACAATAACATCAGAATCTTGTGAAAACTTTGTGTCAGAAACTTGTGTTTACCTCCAAGAGAAAGATTCCAAAAATTTTTTATCCTGTGAAACACAGCCTACTTTACAGTGTATAATTAAGGAAGAAGAAATGTGGTCTTTGGATGATTCAAGATCAGTCAATATAACTAAAAGGATAGGTATGTTTTATTTTTATATTTATTTTTAAAAATTACTGTATTTCATATAAATGAATATTTACACTATTTTGGAAGTATTGTCATATCATAGTATAAACATTGTAAGAATTATTAAATCGAAATAGTATTCTTGAATAATATAGATTTTATAAAATTAATATTATCATTGTTATTATAATACAAATATGCAACTACATATATTCATTTAGAATACGGTCGAGTTGCCACTACAAATGCTTTGAAGCATTTTTGATTGGTCAATCAAATGCTTCGAAGCATTTATAGTGGCAATTCCAACCTCCCTTAATGAAAGGAATTTTTTCTTTATTATTATTTTGATTTAGCAATGTCTCTACTTGCAATATAAATCCATTATATTTTTCAATTGTATATTTTAGGTGAAATGATAGCACTTGATGCTGAAGCATTCACATTAGTTGAACGAAAAGGCTTTGAAAGGTTAATAAAATATTTAGCACCGCAGTATCCTCTACCTTGCAGAACGTATTTTTCTGACAAAATTATACCACAGTTGCATGAAACTTTGAAAACACGTATTTGTAAAAAATTAGCTACTGCAACATACATATCGTTCTGTACTAATATCTGGACTTGTTCAGCAAACAATGAGGCAATTATAAGTTTAACAGCTCACTTTATACGAAGTGATGATATGGAGAGAGAAACATATGTTCTCAGTGTGAAACACTTTTCTGATAGCCATGCTGTTAATATAGATCAAATATTAAATGATATAATGGAAGAATGGCATATAAGTTCTAATCAAATTCACCTGATTTTAAGAGATAACGCCTCTAATATGATTGTTGGAAGTAGTATGTATTATTTAATATTAATAAGTTTATATTGGATGCATTCAAATATATACTACAACCGCTGAGTGTTCAATGAGCTCATGCATCTGTCTCTTTTTTTTGGATTTAATGGAATATGCCAATTATATATAATAGATACAAAGAATTCACTGAGCGACTGTACTGAATGTATTCATTAGAATATATATTTTTTAAGTAACCTAGTTATTTTTGATTTTAAATTAGCGATATTGATTATGTTATATATCTTACAGGTATGTTAGGAGAGAATATAGGATGTGTTATTCACACTTTACAACTTGTAATTCATGATTGCATTTTAAAAAATCAAAAGTTTATTGAAATTTTAAGAAAATGTCGAAAAATTATTGAACATTTTAACCATTCTTCACTCGCTTACTCGAAACTCAGTAGTATTCAGAAAATTTTAAAATTGCCAAATCATAAATTAATCTACGATGATACAACACGATGGAATTCTACATTTTATATGTTGTCAAGTCTTCACGAACAACGACAAGCGATAACTGCATATGCTGCGGATAGAGACATACCAACCCTTACAGTTATGCAGTGGAGTATAGTAGAAAATGTTTTACATGTTCTCCAACCATTTGAAGAAATAACTAAAATATTAAGTTCTGATTGCGAGACAATTGGATACATTATTCCGGCAGTTGTTATTCTACATTCGTATCTTTCAAAACGACAGAAGGATGCTGGAATAGTAATGTTGAAGGAAGAACTCAAGAAAGCAATGGAAGAACGATTTTTCATTTCTACAGGTATTATTTTAATAAGTTCATTATTTTAATGAATTTCAATGTTATTTTTTTTTCTTTGAAATAAATGGATCAATTTTTTTTGTCATACAGGATTCAAGGATCGAAAATGTTTTGTACTAGCTACGGTTTTAGATCCAAGATTTAAAACAAAGTTTTTGACAGATGAAAATAAGGTCAAACAATGGATTATTACCGAATTGCTTGAAATGAATAGTACAATCATTGAAGATGATAAAAACAATATGCAAAGTCATGATAATCTTCTTCAAAAACAAGATATTAGTGAAACACAAGATGATATTTGGAAGTGCTTCGATGATATAATAAACAATTCAAAATCAGATAATGATAACAATTTTGAGGATTCATCAAGCGAGACGTTTAACAGACAATCCAGTGATAGAACTGAGAAAATTGCAATTTACAATGCTGAATTAACAAAATACCTGACGCTACCTCTGTCACCAAGAAATGAAGATCCCTTAATATGGTGGAAAACTCATGTTTTAGAATATCCTAATCTCAAAACTTTAGTTTTGAAATACTTGAGTGCTCCACCATCTTCCGTGCATTCGGAAAGACTTTTCAACGCAGGAAAATTAGTTTATTCCGATAATCGAAATAAATTATCACCGAAAAATGCTGAAATATTATTGTTTATCATGAAAAATTTATTAATATTAAATTTTGATTACTGAGCAATGTCTACGGTGACCAGTGTCATGTCCGGTTTTTCCTGGACATTTTTTTTTTTTGCGTTTGAGGCAGTAATCTCAAATTGTGAGATTTTCCGACGCATGCACAATAACATAATGCAGTAGCATACAGACATATGAATCGGAAAAACTTAATATCGTTATATCTCTCACAGAAATAAAATAGGAAATATGAAAGGAAGTATTAAAAGATATTGTACAAATTTTTATAAAATAAGTAATATAATGACTTCATTGATTCTTTATATTTGCCGACTTATTATATGAATATCAACATTTGATACGTAAGAAAAAATGCAAAAAGCCTTTTTAGTATTTTTGAAAATACATATTTCGGAAACTAAAAATTACAAAAATGCTTATTGAATATTATAAGCACAGATAGATGAATCTACCAAGAATATTTGACAGAGTGTCTTATGTATATTTTGTGGAAATACTAGAAATATAACAAAATTTTCTAATTAAATAATATAATAGCAGAATGATTATAAAAATTTAGCAAAATGTGTTTCTTACTAAGATATTTTAAGGTGTATTTATATCAATTACACACGAGTCAATTGCGCAAAAGCCAATCACAGCACTAGAAAAAAAATAAAAACTGCACAGAAGTCGCTATGATTGACAGTGGGCAATTACAACAGTGTGCAAATGAATCACTCTCTATTTTAACGGTAACTAAATTGTAATTAAAAATTATATTAATGCCCATTTCTATCACTGCAGTTTAACTTTAATATTGGTTCAACTAACTATTCATCTTTTTATAATTTTAAGAATAATCTACATTAGTAGAAATGGGCATAAGGGTCACTTTATGATTTGCTGATTAGTTTAATCGGCCGATTAGTTCATTGGAATTAGCCAATCGCATCTACTATCAAATAAAATGATAAATGCGATTGACCAATTCCAATAGACTAATCGGCCGATTAAGCTAATCGACGAATCGCGTAAAGTGATTCCAATTATAATTGTAATTACTTATTGAATGCACAACCGCTCACTGAGCGCTTAGGAAGCTTTTTCGTCTGGTTGGTCTATATCTTAGGATCTAACAGAATGTACCAATCAAATGAAGAAAACGCAATGAACGGTTGCGCATTTGGATGCACCTAAGTATCAACTCTATAAATTTCATGTTCCATGGTTAATACACGTCATTGGTCATTGCTGATGTGATCCAATGTAATCGTACTTCGTAAATTTTTACTTGCGAAATGCGAATTTGAGATTATTTGGACACAAATTATTGACGTTAGCAATCAAAATCTTTTTTTGTGCAAACAAAATGGAGGCGTTGTATCATCAAACCAATAAACTAATACAAGAAACGCAGCACATTTTCTCGCAGCTCGAGAGAAAGACATCCGACACGGATCTGCAGGAAGTGAAGCAAACTATCGAGGACAAAATCACTCTTATCAACAGGTAGTTAGAGTTAGTCATGATATTTGAAAATTGCTTACCACTAAATTTGTATGATTTGATCAGTAATTGCGAACGACTCGACGTGCTATGCCTCAAGGGTCCAATGTCGCAAAGGCAGAACAACAGAATGAGAGTGGATCAGCTCAAGTATGATAGTCGTCATCTCAGCGCTGCCTTGAACTCCTGGTACAATCACGTGATGCGACAACAGAGAGAGGAGGCGGAGAGAGAGGCTTTACTGGCCAGGAAGTTTACCACTAATGACCACGTGGACATCTTCATTGATCACACTGTGCAACATAATAACAGCTTGCACAATGCCGTCCATGGTATAGATGACCTACTGCACCAAGGTAGCAACGTTTTGGATAACTTGAGATCTCAGAGAATAACGTTAAAGGGAGCCCACAAACGTTTGATAGACATTGGTAATACTTTGGGTCTTTCCAATACTACTATGAGGCTCATAGAGCAACGAGCTAAACAAGATGGATTTATTTTAGTCGCCGGCATGACCTTCACTTGTATAGTAATTCTCTTGGTGATAATTTACCTTACTTAGACATTCCAAAGATTAGTACAATGTATTTGCGATTAATTGTAATTGATTATGCCATTTATATATATTTGTTAGTTTTCATCACAATTGCTATCAATGCTTATGAAAAAGATAATAATCTTTGTAGCTATTTAGAACTACATTCCAAAACTTCCTTTCCGAGGAAAATTTTACTCAAAATCTATAGTGCATGTAATTATAGCATAGAGTAAAATCTTTCTTGGAGAGAAAGTTTTGGAACGTAGCCTAAGATTATTTACTCAAGTATTTACTGTAAGCTGTAAGAATATTATGTATGTAAATATAGATACTAAATGACTGTAAATGAAATTTTTTAAATGTTATTTACTATATTTGTGCTAAGGTACAACGTATTTTTTATTGTAAAAATCAGTGTTGATAATATTTATTGTACACTTATATTTAGCAACGATTGTTGAAGTTTTCTCGAATGTTATATTAATAAAATTATTCGTATTTTTAATGGAAAAGATTCTAATAATGCTATCTAATAATTATAAGAATATAATTTATATATAAGTAATATACATTGATCTGCAGATATTAGCTATATATGCAAAAAGAATTTTGTTATTTTATTCTTTATGAATTCCTTTTGGTAGCTTCTTTAAATATTTATTATAAAATGTGCAATCCTGTATTTCCCTCATTTTTAGAATTTCTCTTTTTTGTTAAAATCTAAGAATTTTATCATGTTAATAAAATATAGACGGGTGCAAAAGAACGAAAGAAGAAGAAGAACACAGGCCGGTATTCATAGTCTATTCTTCAAAACCGTCTTAAAACGCTAATGCAGCCCTCTGAGTATGCGGAACTGTGGAACGTTCGTAATTAATCGTGGTTTCATTCCGCCGATTTCGCTAAAATATTGTATGTTTTCCTAGTCCCATAAAGCGGAATTTCCGGAATGCGCAATTAGCGCTGACCAATCACAAGAATCTTCTCATAGATCACTTTCATTAGATCCACCGGAATAGCGTTTGTCATTGGCTCACATTGATTGCGTATCCATAAGTTCCGTTCAATGGGACATAGAAAAATCATTAGACATCCATTTTATTAACATCCATTTTATAACACCCTTAAAAATATGTATATAACTATGTTCAAACTTAAATTACTTATTTTACAATATTCTGATTCATTTATTTATTTAAAACATTTTTTAAAATTAAATTTTACATTTCAAGAGTTTTAAACGTCAAAATGTCATTGCATAGCTATTATTAGAAACATTGAAACTGAACGATGTCATTGTTATAACATAATATCATACCTTAGCAAACACAACCTCAATTTCAACTTGCACTGATCTCCACTGACTTCAAAGATATTGGCCTAGTTTCCTAGTGGTAAACTGGCCCTTTCCACCGAGGTTAAACTGTAGTTTTAAACTGTAGTTGGTTGGTTCTTACATTCTGATCCAGCTTAAACCCTCGGTGGAAACTAGGCCACAGATAGCTTAATGGAGTCTAAAATCTAGCATAAGATACTTATCATTGTTGTTTTTTTTTATGATCAGATAACCTAGCTAATCCTTACCTATTTTAATTTAATCCATTTTTAAGTGTCGAAGACATGTGCTTTTCGAGTTAATTAAACGAGAACTCGGAAGATTAAAGTCATATTAATTTTGTTTCAAAGCTGGACAAAATTATCTAAAAGGCATCAGATTATCAATAGAATTAAAAACTAATCGTCATATAACTTCAAGGAGAGGTTGAAAGTGCACAGCTCTCATCAAACTGCTCCACAAAAAAAACAGGTGTAAGAGTACAATTTTTCTGTATATATTACATTTCTATATACAAAATTTCGGAATTGAATTATTACGTCTGTATAGTTTGTATAGACTAACTAAAAATATCAATAATAATGGACGAAATACTGAAAGATACGCGTTTCACGCATATCGTGAGAGATCCAAAGTTTCGTCGTATTCCCAAAGCTGAGAGGAAAGTGAAGATTGATCGTCGATTTAAGGGTATGTTTGAGGATGAAAAATTTACCGTGAAGTACACCATTGATAAGCGCGGTAGACCTGTTAATCAAACCACCACTGAAGATCTTAGAAAATATTATGATCTGTCGAGCAGCGAAGATGAAGATACATCTGTGTCATCTGCAAGCAAGAAAGACAATGAAAAAAAAGTGAAGGATAAGAGAAAAAATAAAAAAAAGACTGTGAAAGAAATCGAATTAAAAACTGAGAAAGATTTCTCAGACAAAAGGAACAAAAATGAGAACAACAAAGGTGATTGTTTGTCAAGCCAGAAAAATTTTTCTGAACTGAAAACAAAAGAAGAATCTCCTGATGAAGATGAATCTTCAGATAGTGAAACTGAATCTGTCCAAAAAGAATTTTCTCAAGCAGGACTAGATGAACATAATAAACAGCTTTATAAAACAAGGAAAAATGAAAATAGTAGACTTACAAATGAAATTAAAGAAAAACTGAAGGATCTTACTATAAATTATGCTAGAGGTGAAGGTGTCCTGTTAAGTGACAGTTCTTCAGAAGAAGAATCATCCGAAGCTAGTGGTAAAATATTATTTATATCTTATATATAATATTTATTTATTATATCTTATATATAATATGTTCTGATTGTATTGAAATATTTACAGAAACAAATCTTTTTTAGATGCCGAAGAAAAGATTGAGCATAATTGGGGTGAACTGGATAAAGATGCCGAAACAACAGATGAGATCACAAGTCGATTAGCTATTTGTAATATGGATTGGGATAGAATACGTGCTGTGGATTTAATGATTTTGTTAAACTCATTCTTACCCAGTAGTGGACTCATCCATTCAGTTACAGTAATGACTAAAATAATAATTAATATTATTATACATATATATATATATAAATGTTTTTCTGTTTCTATATATTTTATATATTTAATTAGAGATATATATATTTAATATTGCAAGAAATTATAATATATAGCCATTATAATTAATAATTATACTAATATAATCATATTGGATATATTTATTTATTTCAGATTTATCCATCAGAATTTGGTCTGCAGCGAATGAAAGAAGAAGAAATTAATGGACCATCAGAGCTGAAAAATGAAGTTATTAGAAGTGAAGATGAAATTGAAGATGATGTATGAAATAATGATTTTCTGTGTGTATATTTTTACAGTGTTTTCTTACTAACAATTATTGATTTCTTTTTTTCTTAGAATGAAGAAGGTTCGAAATATCACATGGAGAAGTTGAGACAATACCAATTGAATCGATTGAAATACTATTATGCTGTTGCTGAATTTGATTCTGCAGAAACAGCAAACAAAGTATACACGGAATGCGACGGTATCGAATATGAATCGACTGCAACTAGATTAGACCTTAGATTTATACCAGATGATATGATATTTGATCAGGTATCTCTTAAAATCATATATTTATACATGTTACATCAAAAGTTTATTAAAGTATGAAGAATCATATAAGTTTCATGTATGAAATATTTGTTAAAGAAACCTGAAGAAGTGTGTACTGAGATACCTGAACCTGTCAAGTATCAACCACGACAGTTTACGACAACAGCATTGCAACAAGTTAAAGTCAAGTTAACATGGGATGAAACAAATCCAGATAGGCAAGAGTTTACGCAGAAACTAAATTCAGGAAAACTAGAGGATATTGATGAAAACGATCTACAGACATATTTGGCAAGTGGTAGCGAGGATGACTCAGGTACAATGCTATTTTATTTTGTATATGTTGTTATTTTATGTCAAATTAAAATCTACACATACACTCTTATTATATTATTTTTCAGATACAGAAGAAAAGAAAGACGTAACTGAGGAAACAAATGATAATTCAGAGAAAGAATCAGAAACAAATAATGATCTAATTGGAAAGTACAAATCTTTACTTAAGACTATTGAAGAAGAAGAAGAGGCAAAGAAAAATAAAGATGTAGAATTAGAATTCTCATGGGGCTTAGGCACCAAAGAAAAGGCTGAAAAGTTAGTGAAAGAAAGAATGAAAAATAAAGAAGAACTTACACCTTTTGAACAATATCTAGAGAAACGCAAGGCAAAAAGAAAAGCTAAGAAAGAAGAAAGGAAAAAGTCTGAAGACGAAAGTCAGAAAAGCGATTCGGAAGATTCTGTGCCATCTGATGTAGATATGAATGATAAATATTTTACGGACGAATTAAAAAATAGTAAATTATCCCATAAAAAAGAAACGAAAAATAATGAAGCTGATGTTGGTTCATTGAATGAGCAGGAAAATAGTCGACATGAAGCTGAATTGGAGTTGCTTCTGATGGATCAAGACGAAGACGGTAAAAAGCATTTCAATATGAAACAGATTGAAGAAAATGCAACTATGTCGAAATCCAAACGAAAACGTCTTAATAAAAAGAAAAATGTACAAGAAGAAGCGAAAGAAGATGATTTCGAAGTTAATGTTAAAGATCCAAGATTTACCGCTTTGTTTACGTCACATCATTTCAATATCGATCCTGCGGATCCGCATTATAGAAAGACAAAGGGTACGGAAGCATTAATTAATGAGAAATTGAAGAGAAGAGCTGGAAATGAAGCACACACAGAAAACGTAAAGTAAAAAAACATTTTATAATTAACAGTGATTTATACGTTTTTTCCTATAATGCATATCGAAATTTTTTTAGGACAAACAATTTAAAAAGCCAAAAACAGATGGAAAATTGCCAACGGAATTACAAGCTCTAGTTAAATCTGTTAAGAAAAAAACACAAAATATTACACAACCAATAAAAAGATAAGGTAATTATATTATCTTTGTATTAATAACAATAGTTAATAAGAAAGTTACACTTTATATATTAATAAAGGAATTATATTTTTAATTTAAGAGATAATTCTTTTTATTTTACAATTTATGTTACGAGATATAGCATTTCATTTTTGCGTTATTTATTTAAAAATGATAAATTTTTATGGTAATACTATTATTATAATTGCTACTAACAAATAATAAATTAATTAAAATTGTGTATAAAAATGATATATTTTTATAAATATAATGTATATACACAGTTCCGAATTTAAATGATCAATCTTCAGGAGTGTGTAGGAAATCGATAAACTAGAAAAAAAAATCCTTTAAAGATATCTTCGTTTTTGTTTCGTTTTGGAGAAA